CTTTGGCGATTTTTCATTCTTATTTGGCTAAGCCAAATGACTTGAAACTTTATAGGCATGTACATCATGTCATAGAGAACTCGTAAAAACACATTCAGAAAAAAAAAAAAAGTTTTAGGCCCCGACATAATTTTTGGCGGGGGCCGAACGCCGTCGGGTTCGGACCCCGTACGGGACCCCGAACGCCCGAACGTACGGAGGTCCGCCCGGGGGCCTCCGTACGCACGGGCTGGTAACCCTGATGACGATGATAAAGATCAGAATGAGGCCCTAGTTGCACTATTGGCCATCCGCCAAGAATTCGAATGCATCTGGACAAAGATGATGTCCACATGCAATCAAGATATTGGCGGATGGCGACTAGTGCGAGAAGGCCCTGAGACATCACCTACCACAATTATCATTAAGCACATGCTCACACTAGGTTTTCCTCAATGAATGTGGTCGTAGTTACGGTCACATTCATCCAGAGGAGTCTCGATCCTCTAACATGCGGGCTCTGTCGTTTGACCCTGCGTGGACCAATGGAAAGCCCAATGGCGCACCCCAACCTTTTGCTAGGGTGAAAGCCATCTGGGCTGGTCCGTAGCAGGGTACACCTCGAGTATACCAAGAGATCCACATATTCGGTAACAGCCTGACGAACCGTGGTCGCCTGAGCACTGGCCTGGTACTTGAGCAGGCACCCTGGCACGCAGGAGGGCCTGGACACCGCGCCCTCCGACAGCGGGTCAAGTGGCTCCCAGAAGAAGCCCCGGTCAGGGTACTGAGAATCATGTTGACGATACTAGGCAAGCCTGCATCGAATGATGAGTGGATACTGAAACCCGCTTTAAAAACATTAGCTCAATGGAAGGACTACCACACCTCCCTAATCGGTAGGGTGCTGACGATTAACAGTGTTGTGCTGGCGGTTTTTCGATATAAATCCGCAATTTGGGCTCTGAGTAAGGAGACCATCCAATCACTGAAACGACAGTTAACAACCCTGCTGTAGAGAGGTGATGGTGAGCTCCCGAACGCCATTAGCAAGGTAGCTTGGTCATCGATGGTCCAACCCAAGGACAAAGGGGCTGGGGATTCTAGACCCGGATACATAGATCACAACATTAATGGTTCAATGGGATAAGAGACTGCTCTTCGCACAACATCTCCCATGGTATGCCCTTGCACTGGAACAGATGGCCAGACTCACTCCACAAGCACCACAGGATATCAACCCGTTGACCTGGCTAGAAGACCTTTTCTGGATCGTGCCGCGATGCATTCGAGACAGTCAAGGATCGAACAGAGGAACAATCCGTAATGACTTGACTAGGGACGACTTCTGGGCCAGGGTCTTAAGAGCCTGCCGCAAACTTCCACTTCTTGACAAGCCCCCGCCAACGAGGTGGGAGGACGTGATGCGCCAACAGGGTGTATTGCAGCTCAATCACCCCGTGGTGCAGCTGGGTAAAAAAAGGCGTAATTAGAATAAAAGATATGTGAGACTTAGAGAAAGGGAACTGGAAAACAGTGCCGCAACTGAAGGTCACATTAAAATATTATCACATTGTTTAGGAGAACCTTGAACTATTGATATTCGTTGTTCCCCTAGACTGGGTGCGCATCTTGCGCAAAGGGCCGCGACTTGTAGAAGTGGACTGGGTAAAGCTACGAGGGACTCAAAAAGTGCAGGAAACGTGGTGTACGTACGAACGGACGAAACACTGATTAACCTTTTCCATATAGGCAAGGTAACGTTCTCACTCGGTACACCCCATAAGTGACGAGATGGAGAAAAAATACGGAACTACACAGGATTCGTGTGCTGGATTCGTGTGCTGCAGGACAAGGATGTATGGATTGCATATCAGCCAAATACCCCATTGGCAGAGCTCCCTTTGGATCCCGAGGAACTGCAGTGGGCACACCCACGAAATGTAGATCTCAGGGGAATGCAAAGCTGTACAACCTGACAGTGAAGGCAACGTACCGACTGCTGGGACCAAAAGTAAACATCAAAGCAAAGGTGAAGGACCGATGGAGGTCCCAACTAAATGTGGGGATTGAGGTTATCCGTCCTCCTATTCAATGGTTCACTGTCACGAGGTCTAGGCCAGTGAAAATGACCTCGCTGCAATGGCAGATAGAACATCACTGCCTGGCCACCAACGACTGGCTGATAGACCGTAACTATCTAGAGCAGAAGGGGCGAGCGCTACCATGGTGCAAATCGTGCCACGCTGTCTTCCCCTCCCGCAGAATCCCACAAACCATAGCACACATTTATGCAGTGCCCGGGGGCAATTCTTACATGGCATTGGTGGGATAGGATCTGGTCCCAGTCGGGCACTGGGTCAAAGTGGCCTTGGGATTGGAAGGCCATACTATGCGAGACATGGACCTCCCCCACGGACAACATTTTTGAAAATAACATGTTTAAAATAGGGAGGAGAGCAGTCATATGGACCCTCTGGAAGAAACGTTATATTCATGCCATAGAGGGGGTCCGCATAGCGGAGGGAGGGACTACGAATATGATAAAACAATATGTTCAACAAGAACTAACGATACAGTGGCAAAAAGTTAAAAGCCAATTGGATTTGTTTCATTCATTCAAAGATATAACACAAGCAATTCAACAATTCTCAGGGGACTGGTTGGGCAGTGAGAAAGGGGGCTGGATTGCCTCGAGCAGTTGGGACGGCAGGCCTACCCAGGAATGCCACCAGGAAGAGTTCAGAAAAGATTACCGTATTCGCCTAGGCTACCAGCCGGGCCGCCCGGGTCCCGGGTGGCCAGCCCGTGCAAGGACCAGGGGGGCTGGATTGCCTCGAGCAGTTGGGAC